CAGAGATACTGAGAAGCAAGAGGAGAGCTATTGAACTGCCATTAGTTAACTGCTGAAGTTAAAGTCTAAGGGCTTATGATGAATATCATAAAGCCTGTCATTTGAAATAATAATGATAACTTTACTCTCCTGATTGTATAATCCTTAACTTCAAATTTATAGTTTAAGTAAAGCGATTACAATATGTAAGCTTATGGTTCATGATAAATTATGGTAGATTGTATTGTATACATTAATATATTTAGCGTGGAGATGTGCGATAGACTTACCTCCACGTGGTGCACCCTGGTCAACGTATACTCATACGGCAAAAAAGTCTATTAACCGGCATTTGACTTCTGACTTCAAACTACCATGACCCCCCTGGTTGTCATATTCGACCCCTTCCACAGTACTCACCTTACCCTTTTCTCTACCTTTGTGTCTGTCTGCCTCTTTTACATCTGTGAATCGCTCTTTTGTACCCCACCCCTCGACTTTCTGCTACTTTGATTCCCCTCCTCCTATCTGTGAAGCCCGAAGTCAGCTAAATGGCTAATGACATCTATCAAAACGCCTGCCATTTGAAATAAATAAATATTTAGCGTTAAAGGGGTAAAAAATGAATTAGATTATCTCACAAAGCATGAAATCATCATAGGCGTCCGCTGAGTATGCGGTAGTTCTTCGGGAGACCTTCTTGATGTAGGCGTTAGTTACTCCCTGAGGAATATGAACAGCAATAGTCAAGCCTGAAAGAATAAAAAAAACTCAAATTAAAGCAGAGAGAGAGAGATAATGAAGAAATTGCTCTTCCAATACACTCCTACCGTCGTAGGTGGCCATTTGAAGTGCTACCGTGTAATAAAGTTTTGCTTGTTGAATCGTATTCCATAGCAAACAATTACGCATTTCGACTTAAGTAACCTTTAGAATTTACATTACTATAATTAAAGCCACTGTCAACTGAGCCACAGTGACCAAGGTGACTCAATAATACCTAAGCTGGTTTTCATGAACTATGCTTGATGAAGCTCCACTACAAGATCAAGCCGAGGAACCTAGTGAAAGAATCGTCATGTTCGTAACATATTAATCTGTTTCAGCTGTACACTCATGACATGGCTTCAGCAATTCTCAAGTTTACTACTACATGTAAGACTTTCACAAAAATTACGAAAACCTTAAGAGAGATGGAGAGAGAGAGCGGAAATATGGGGGTTTTATTGAGAGATCAAAACGTACCAACTGGTTTAGCCCCTGGTGCAAGAGCGTCATTGTGCTGGAAATTGCCGCTGACCGCATAACAGGTACTGTTATCCCCACCGCAGACATTGCAATTGTCTGTTTGCATTCGAGACCCGAGCACCCTATCACAACCGGCTTTCTATAAGATTAAAAAAAAACACATTAAGATAATAATAATTATTTTATTTTATTAACTTCCTCCTCCAACAGGGATCTTCGGCGGTCTTTTAAAACTGTTGGATGGTCACCTTGTAAAAGTTCTCATAATTATTCCCGTTAAATAGAAGCGTGGCAATCTCTCTCATAACTTATTTATTTTTTCGGGGGTGGGGGTTACGCGAACAGCTGAGAGTTTGGTTAGCGGCCGAACATGCTGGAGATGGCATTTATCAGTAGAAAGTACTAACCCACTTTACAAAGCACAAATCTGAGATGCCGATACAGTATCCTAGGGAATAGTTGTGATCCTCTGAATTGCAGTTATGGATAAATGCTTCCAGGAGGAAGCAAATGCCAATAAATATTTACGTCAACTTCACTTTTATTCATAAACGCATCTTTTGCCACTAATTATTATCACACATACATACATACACACACACACACAGACAAGCGGAGCATGTTAAATTAACCCAACTATTTGGTTTTTGATGCTTTACTGTCAGAAACAAGACTAAAAATTGCACTTTCAACACGTTCTAATCACTTTTTTTCGTGCAATGTAGTCGCTTTCGCTAGCTGCTAAAAAAACGAAAAGACCTCTTTTTGTACATTCTCATTGTGATGTGAATAAGCAGAGCAACTTTGAATATTGATGAGTGCGGAACCGTTAAGCAGTTTGCATTAAAACAAAGAACACAGAAGTCAGTCTCAAAAGAATTTAAATTTAATTCCTTTTTCTTCCTTATTAAATCTAGAAGGTACAAAAGTCTTAGATGTGTGCACACGGGTCTGGGGTGGATGGCTAAACTCCGACGTCTTCATTTTCAAGTAAAACAGTTTATAAATAAGGGTGGTTTAAACAAAATGATCTTAATTTTAAGGTATGGGGTGTGCGATAGCCTCACTTCCACGTGGTGCACCCTGGGCAACGTATACTCATACGGCAAAAAGTCTATTAGTCGGCAGTTGACTTTTGACTTCAAACTACCATGACCCCATTACATTTCATATTCGAATAATTCCACAGTATTCACCTCACGTTTTTTCTACCTTTGTGTCTGTCTGTCTCTTTTACGTCTGTGAATCATTATTCTGCCCCCTCTCGACTTTTTACCACTTGCATGTTCATCTTCCTTTCTGTGAAGCCCGAAGTCAACTAAAGGGCTAATGATACCTATCATAACGCCTGCCATTTGAAATAAATAAATAAATGATATTTGCCAATTTTTTAATAAGAGACTCGAAGGAAAAAAGAAAGTCAGATAGATAGATCAAGGTAGATGAAACGAGCGTTCTTCCCCAAAAGCGAGCACTAAACTTCGTAGTTATATACGCACATCCAAACACTTTTCGCAAACAGAAATCAAAATTACTATCAGATAGAGAAGAATAAGTACAAATAGTTCCCGTATATATATGCACAAAACCAGTTTACAAGAAGACAAGACTACACACAATCGGAAAAAAATTATTTATTTATTTCTGGTAACATGCATTGGGGAAATCATTAGATCCCCGCATTAAAAAAGGCGATTTTTGAAGGAGTTGGAATAAAAAATGGACAAGGCATCAGCAAGACATCCAGCAGAATGTTGGTCATAACGAAGTTGAGACACATTCGAAGACGCCTCTGTACGTAGACAACATGCAGACACACAGGGGAAGAAAGCATGCAAATAGAATAGAATAAAAAATAAGACAACACAAATATGCAAGATAAAAAGTAAATAAAAAAACAATAAACAAAGGGAAAATTGCGTTAGACGGTTTCAATCAGTCAGTACCTTGAAGTATTTTCACCAAGCAACGATTTCGGTTGGGGAATCGGAGAGACCAAATTCGGAATCTGAACTTAGGAAGAGGAGGAGGAGGAGCACGTTCCATGCATGACAAAGGTATTAAGTTTTTGCTGAGATGTGGAGCAAACAGGTACTCACTTATCAGAATTCAAAGCGAGTTTTATGAACGCGGAGAAGTCTACTTTGCAACTGTTCCTAAGCCATATCAACTGAAAGCCGCCACGCACCTCCGAAATGGGCAATTTGAAGTGGCCTAGATCATCTACATCATCACACACACGAATGCACTTATTAGTGGGCAAGCTTGTATGAAAGAATAGTAGCCAGTGATTGGAAGATGATACACACCCACTTAGTCACAATGCCAATGCTTTTCTATAGCTAATGACCACGGTGACGCGCTTTCAATATGTTTCTCGGTTCATCTTTACTTTATTTTATATACTTTCATAACAGCTTGCTGGGGGGAGCACGATAGACTTACTTCCACGTGGTACATCCTGGGCAACGTATACTCATACGGTAGAAAGGTCTATATACCGGCACTTCTAACAACCAGGACCCCACTGTATGCCGTATTACCCCACTTCCAGAGTACTCACCTTTCCTTTTTTCTATGACTGTCTCTTTTACAGCTGTGAATCACTCTTCCGTTCCCCCTCTCGACTTTTTTATGTGCCTTCGAAGTTTCTCCCCTCTGTGAAGCTTGAAGTCAATTAAATTGCTAATGATAACCATCATAAAGCCTGCCATTTGAAAAAAACTATAATAGTTTGCATTGTCTGCAAGATGTTCATTTAAACTATAATTAGTAGAGATTATGTCCGAATATATTTATGTACAAATATTCAGGAACTTAATAGCAATTGCTAAAGAGAGAGAAGCTAATAGAGTTATAAATGAACAAAAGTGGAATTTTTAAGGTTAATTTAAAATTTATACTACCTTCCTATTTAAAATTATATCGCTATAGGAGTGATTTTAAAAGCTTTTGATTTTCACAAGTGATGTAAATAGCTGTGGGAGATAAATCAAAGTGTCTTTAAAGTTAGCTCTTTGTTCTCTCGAATAGGTGCACTGAATGAAAGGCCAAGCTGAGAACTAACTCAATTCAGCCAACCAATCAATCAATCAATCAAGAATTCATAAAGCTTAAAACACCTTTGTAAGAGGCATGTTCTGCGCCAACAATCTCATTAATCTGTCTGCTACTTAATGGCAAGTTAAGCACCACATGAATGATTTAAATAACTAATAAATAAATAAACTAGGCTGTCGAAAAATCAACAATCATCATAAAGTCAAATCACGCTTCAAATTCGGAGATTGAAACATTCTGTGCATGCATGCATTCTGGCCTATAAATAGAAAAAAAAACCATTTTCTCCCTGTAAACCCCCAATTATGCCCAAAATAACAAAAGTTGAAAAATCTACTCGATTAAGGCTTTCTGGAGAACAAAAAGGCGTTTGTTTAGTCGAAGTGATATTGCATGATGATTTTTACCGCATGCTGTGAATCTAATGGAACTCGAACACTAGGGCAAAAAATAACGCGAGTTCATTGATTAGAGCAACGATTGCCAAGGACAGAAGAATGTCTGATAAGGTAGCCTTTTATCTTTCAAAACTAACTCTATGCAATCTAATTAACAGCTATATCGTGGCTTGAAGCAAAGATATTTATTCCTATCTACTTTGACAATGTGGGGCCAAAACAGGAGCAAAGGCAAGACATCTTTCGTGAAATAAGTCGCACAACCTTTATAAGTGTCCACCAACTGAACTTGACATCCTAAAGTGAAAAGAACAACAGCAAGGGATCTTAAGAAATCCGATTTTCTTAGACCACCACCTCTCCTGATCCATTGACTCAATAAATGCAATATTGATAGCTATACCCCGCCTTATTCAAGGCTTATGCTTCGTGATAATTACTTTCTAACGACTAACTAGTAAATTAGGCTTAAGTACGAATTATATAGCTAATTAAATTAATCCTTTGCCTACCAAGTAGGATGCCGTAGTTGTTGGGTGCATTCTCCCTCGACATCCTCCGCTGATTTCGGCGACTTGGGTTCCAGTAATGTCTTTGGCAGTGCCACCTGCTTTTGCGTTTGCACCAATGCCGGTGGTGACGTGGTTTCGGGCGCCGATGTTGATGGAGGAACGAGAAGCAGAAAACTAGGACGTGAAGGTCTGGAAGCTCCGTAGAGTCCTCGGGCGTATATCTCCTCCAAGACGGCATCCGGTACCAGGTAGCGCACTGACTGACCTCGAGCTAGAGCACGACGAACAATAGTCGCACTCAAGCCATTTTGACTCCATTCCGTCACCAGGATGACGTTTTGCTGAAAATGGAGAAGTAGAGTGACATCAATTGGTATACCCCCACTCTCAACAATGCAATAGTATAATTAACGAATGCATGAGGATACAAATCAATAATCATCGCGGCCTTAACCGATGCAGGGTTGGTACATTCTACTGCTTACTGAGGTGTCGACGCAATGGGATGAGTGGACTCCACCTCCAAATCGATAGGTTGTCAACCAAGATTAAAAGAGGGGAGAATAATTGACTATATATTCAGGCATAAGTAGGAGTGCATCACTAGGAAGAAAGCTGCGTTTCACATAGTCTAAATAAATAGTTCATTCACAAGTCTTTCAAGCATGCAGATGCAGGAGGGGTGGGGGTGGGGGGGGGGGGGGGGGGGGTAGTGAGCATCTTGAAGTCCACATGGAACAAGGAGGGAAGCAGGACGACAGATGAGACATTGCTTTGACATCTAACTTCGATACTGGCGTCAACACAATGGTCCGCCAATGATGATTACTAATTTGGGGGGAGATAACTGTTTGATCATGATTGGCACCGCTTCATGAATTCATGAAACTGGGCTTCTAGCCATCCTAAACGGTTGCAAATGGAAGGATGATTATGTTGTATGAAACCGTCTGCACGATCAAACAAGATCCCTTTTATGGCATGCAATTGGAAATTTGGAGAGGAAATCAGCTTCTGCTAATTCAAATTTCTTGTTGCGATCCAATTTCATCCACGGAAAGTCTCATCAAAAGTTTTTCCTCCATTTTTCGAACCAAATTTATTCAGGCTTGAATGTGGTTTTCGCAACCACACTAAAGCCAAACGAAATACGACTTGAGACCAATAATTCACAAGTTCATTAATGGCAAAATCAAATACAACTGGTTTCCACATTTAGCCAATCAAAATAAGATGTTTTGCTTTCAGAGCCTATTTACCTACGTACTATTTGTTTCAACGAAAACGAAATACGCAATATTCGCAAAAAAGGCAGTGACAATTCATTGATTCCATACAAGAAATGGGCAATGATGCCCGGAGGAAGGCAGAGCCGGCTAAAGCTTCGCTTTTTTAGGGCCGAAATGCTCAAATTCAGCATTCTGCGCCGCACACACACAATAGCCATAGCAGCGAAGGTTATTTCTCACCC